ATTTAATTGAAAACAACAATTATCAACTATTATATAACCAAACAATTATATTAATTGAATCTACTATTTGTTATTTGTTAACTGCTTTCTACTATCTATCATTCGCTTCACGTTACCATGATTTACAATATATTATCCGTTATTCGTTAAATTTTAACTACTAATTAAAGTAAATAAGCTCTTAAACTCGAGATCTTTTTTCACTCAAATTAATAAGCCATTAATAATATATAATTGTCATGACTAACAATTACCAACAATTTAAATTTAAATTTTTAAAAATACACAAATTTTAACTCAGAAATTATTGAGTTAGTGTGGGCCTTTGTGCTGAATCGTTACCAATAAGGCGATGTAAGAATTCCACCAAGCAATGGAAACAACCGTTTCTAAATTTCTAGATCAGTTTTGGGTAGGAAAACAGCGACTGATTCAGGCATTAAACGTTGATTTTGGTGGAAAGACCAAGTCTTCCTCGGCCCCCTTTTTTTTGCAATAATGCTTGATAAAGACCAAACAGCCAAGTGTTTTGTCAGAACAAACTTTCCTTAAGTAAGGGTAATGTTGTTATTTAACACCATCTCGAACATAAAAATAATACAACTTTACAATTAAAGCGGTTTACGGTTGGTTTCAACCATCAGCAATGTGAAGATCAGAATTCAGGAGAAGTCATCGTTTCCCCTATTATTTCTATCTCTAGCTCAACCACCGCCATTTTTTATCGTCATTTGCTGCGGTCGCTGACTTTACCTCTCCTGATGAGCGGCTCACTCTCCGGTGGTCGAAGTCGGAACCCCAACTCCGGTAGAAGGTCAACGCAGTCAAGTCGTTTCCCCTACTTCCCTGGCTTGTCTGAGTCCTCTTCCTCATCCCGGCGCTCCAGCTCCAGGCGGAATCCGGTGTCAGTTGCGGCTCGCTCGGTCGCCGGAGTTATCTTGGACTGTTTTACTCCTCCCGAGACCACTAACTCCAAGAAGTTCCCGGACGCTGTTGAGTTCAAAGCTCCATCTGGTATGTTCTGTTTTGTTTGTATGATCGTGGGTGTTTTTAGTGTTATGTTTGATATTTTGGCTTTATGTTCGGAATTCTCTGATCTAATGGGTTGAACGCTTATAATCATCCCCTTAAAATGAATCAGAGATAGTAGGATTATATATCGAGCCAGATATAGATTTCATGGATTGTAATTTATGATATTCATGGTAATTGTAGCTTTAATTGAGAGTTTGGAATAAGCATACATAAGATTTGTTTAATTTTCAGTTAATTTGGGTAGCGCAAGAGGTGGTAGTAGGAGTTCCAACCGAGGAATTTATGTCAGTTCATACAATTCAACACATGGGAGAGAGCCTGGGACCGTCAAGTTCACAATAGAAGAAATCTACAAGGCCACAAGGAACTTCTCCCCTGCATTCAAGGTTGGACAAGGCGGATTTGGGACAGTGTACAAGGGGACATTGAATGATGGAACCCTTGTTGCAATCAAGCGTGCTAAAAAGGTTAAATGGAAGTTTCTGATTTTCTCTTTAGTTACAACAGGGCTAGAAATAGCAGGATCTGAAATACATATGACCTAACCAAGTAATTAATTGATGAACTCATTTGCAGATTGTGCATAATAATAAGCATTTGGGTGTTGAGTTCCAAAGTGAGATCAAGACATTGGCACAGGTGGAACATTTGAATTTGGTCAAGTTCTATGGGTATTTAGAGCACCAAGATGAAAGAATTGTTGTTGTGGAGTATGTGTCGAATGGAACAGTCAGGGAACACTTGGATTGTGAGTTCTTTGATTCTGGCCTCTCTTCTTTCTCAGCTTTTCCTTTTGGATGAATTTGCATTTGCAATTATGCTAGAATTTTGATCCCTAAAACATGAGAGGACAAAATGCAGGTTTGCATGGAAAAGTTCTTGACCTTGCTGCACGGCTAGATGTTGCAATAGATGTGGCTCATGCAATCACCTATCTTCATATGTATACAGGTTTGCTTTTTGTGTCAAAAGGACTCATTTTCATTACAAATTTAATTAGATTAGAGCCACATTGCTGTTCCCTCAGAATTGGATTAGCTGGTATGGATTGATTAATAAGACAATGGTTGGATTCCATGCAGATCATCCAATCATCCATAGAGACATAAAATCTTCCAACATCCTCCTCACTGAAAAGTTCCGGGCCAAGGTAGCTGATTTTGGATTCGCTAGACTGGCTGCTGACACCGACTCAGGTGCCACCCATGTGTCTACCCAGATTAAAGGAACCGCTGGTTACTTGGACCCAGAATACATGAGAACCTATCAACTTACAGAGAAGAGTGATGTTTTCTCCTTTGGTGTACTATTGGTCGAGCTGGTCACAGGCAGGCGCCCCATTGAGTCAAAACGCGAACTCAAGGAACGGGTAACCACAAGATGGGTAGGCTCCTCTTCTGCTTCTCTCATTTTTAGATTACTAAGCCTTATTTGTTTGTTTTTTTTTTTTTTTTTAAACACGAGAGTGGGATTCAAATAGCACACTTCTACTAGAATAAGACGGTCCTTTACAAGATATAGATGGCCACTTGGGCCACAAGGACTTCTCTACTAAGACTTATTTGTTAGTTGTGGAACTGCACAGGTAATGAAGAAGTTCAATGAAGGAGATGTCATTTCAACCTTGGACCCGAAGCTAGACTGGACTGCTGAAAACAACTTGGCCATTGAGAAAATTCTAGAACTATCTTTCCGATGCCTAGCTCCACGTAGACAGAATCGGCCTACCATGAAGACGTGTGCAGAGGTCCTATGGGGCATCCGCAAGGAGTACAGAGAACTATGTGCTTTAGATGTTCATTCCCTTTCCACTAGTTCCAAGAGTGGTTCGATAAGAGAAACATGATCAAATGGCTTAAAACAAAACGAGCTAAGCTGGCACCATTTGGTTCAAATGCATAGATATAATCAGGGTAGATGAAAGCAGCAGATGGGAAGACATGGTAGCACTTCTTACCTTCCAAAATTACCTGGGAATCTGTTGAGAAGGGTATTGTTTTTTAATTTCTAGGGAGTGCATTTCTGTTTTGGGTACCTGTGAATCATTGATTTTTTGTGCCTTTTTTTTTTTCTTCTCTTCTGGAATTCATTGATGTATATATTCACAGGAATGATTTTTCCCTTATGACCTACCTATGTATTTGTACATATATTACAAAAGGAAAAAAAAAAAACTCCGGACAAGATGGGGGAAATTAAGAAGAATTTGTACAATTGCTTCTCTTTCTGTAATTAACATGCCTCATTTTATTGGTACATTTGAGAATTGTCATCCCTGGCAGCTAAAGTTTTATTGTTTCCTCTGTATTCAACTTTGAATTCTGAAGAAGTACACTTTATTCACCTCTTGGAAGCGAATCCTGTCGAGTTAGCTCGTAGTTTCCATTTTGGGGTCTCTCATTCTCACCATTTATGTCTGTTACTTTTGAACAGAGGAAGAAGAAAGAAGATGTATAAATGGTAACATGCCAGACGCTGCAGACAATTTACATGTCAAACAAGTGAGAGAGAGATTCAACGAGTTTATGTGCGAAAAAGAGGAGTGAGAGATGAACCTGTGCCAAATCCAGTAGCTTTCACTGGCTTCCAGCTTCCAGCTAGTTGCAGCCATGGCCAGTGCAATAAAACCAGCTAGTAAAAAACCCCATCTGAATCTCCTCAACACGGTCTTTAGTAAGTTTTGCAGTAAGTTTCGTAGCCATTCTCTCATTTGCTGTCTACAGTTGAAATACTTACTCAGGTTTCTTGAAAGAGAATTCAATTCCTTCATTCATATTTTGAAAGGCTAAAAGAAACTCATAACAGTACAGAATAGAATCCAACCTTTCAGGAATTTGTGTACAAAATCCCATTGAAAATGAAAACGACCTAAACTTGATGGTGAACTCTATCATCCAACCGACAAAAAGACCTAGCGCTCCAATTGCCATCACAAGAACAATATTGGAAGACCTGCAGAGCTTAGCTTTGGTTAGATGCCACCATAATCCATTGAAAAAGGGTCAAATACTATACTGAAGTGCAGACCATCATACCTGGTTGCCTTGGTTATGGCCAAGAGGGCAGTAAGAATAGTTACAACTGTGTGGATTGTCCTTTTATAAACTTCATCAATAGTAGTAAGGTATACAAAAGTGCTCACCACAGCCATGAAAGAAAGCCAGAAATCCATAAACTGAAACACATTTGGCATCAATTACATCTCCAAATAAAATTTAGAGTCAGACAGAAAGGGTGGAAATTAAACCAACAAATACCTGTAAAACACCGAAAGATAATGCACACCACGTGCCTACATCACATGCATGATACAATCCACTAGAAATTCCACTACAAGTGAACAGCACCCATTCTGCAAAAGCCTGAACAGAGCAAGTAATTGTCCTTATGCTAGTATGAAGAATAAAAGATATTGAGTCAAAACTTAAAAAGTTCACGGCACATTGTACTCAAGTTTAACAGATAAAATGTTGGTTCAGAGTTAACAAAAAGCATTGCCTTCTGCTGAAGAGCCCAGTAGGCAGGAAGTAATGCTGCAGCATTTGAGGCAATCAGAGCAATAGATTGCCATATGTGCCCTGCATAAGTTTTCAAGAAGAGGTAAACTAGTTTTTAGTTTTATAACATGTTACTATTCTTGAGATTCATTTCATACACAAAACATTATAATAACCAAGAGAAAAATGTTCAGCCTAAAGTTGATGAACAGTATTAAGTATTTTATTTGCAACCTAGTCGCCAAGCATCATGCATGCAACCTTCTCAGAAGCATCCTTGTAAGAGGCAGAAACAACAGATTGCAATTTTGAACCATAAATAACAAGTGGCAAGGATGACCTACTCTTCAACTTCACAGAAATGCATTTACCTTGATGTGAAACAATTTCAACACTACAGTCAAAACCTCCATGGTTTAAATCACAAGAGCAAAAGCTGAGAATAAGAAAACATCACAGTCAGAAGGAAATAAATGAAGATGCAACTTAAACTTTCATTATTAACAGGATGTTTGGGTTGAGGGGAATGGAGGGGAAAAATTTTCTCTATTTGGTAATCAAAAGAAGAAGTTCCATGTATCATATGTAACAAAAAGAAATTGAGAAGGGCACTGAAAGTCATACCTGAATAAGGTTAATCCACTTGCATCGAAAGCGTGTCTGCAGTCACCATGAGAGGAGCATCTTTTTGGGCATCTTTCAAGTGAAATAGACAAGGTAGTCTGACCATTAGAATTACTACTACCAGGGAATGGATGTCTTAATCCAAAATTCCAAATGCCTTCTTTGACATACAAGATGTAAAAATCAACATTTTCTTCACTTGAATCATACAATGAAAAAAACATTGAACCATGACTGTTGCTTGTGCTGTTCGCATAATAGTAGTCCCAATTAACAAGTGATGGTAATCCACCAAATCTAGCATATACTTCATAATTTATCTTTTTATGTGAAGTCAACTGGATGTGGAGATGTGCTCCAGCTGCACCAGAGGGAATGTTCAAATGAAAGTATGTCCAGTTACCATCAACTTGTCCACCATATGAGGAGTTGCTTAAAAGGGGTTCAAGAAGAAAATTGGCTCCATCTGAGGTCAATCGCTGACTATCAGGTAAATAATAGGATTCAAAAGGAATAGAGTCTCCCTGGAGAACCGTCTGCAGAGAACCATTCTCAGCTTGTCAATAAATCATTCCTGTGAGTGAGTTCCTTCAAGTATCAACGGAAGAAAAGATTGTAAAGGAAAAAAAATGTTCATTAATGCAAATATTGAATGCATTAAACTATAAAATTAGGAAATGATAGACAACAAGCATATTCTGAAATGAAATGGCACAATGAACTTTTCAAGGATAAATATTACAATGTTTATTTAAAAGAAAATGACAGACCTGAAGCATGTATCTGTCTGAAGTACAATCCAGGCCAGCCTTCCCCAGGGGACACTGAAGCCATTGCAGTTCCATTGAATAGCAAACCTTGGTATTGTTAGTTTGAATTCCCCTAAGTTCCTTTGAAAGATCTACGGCCAGAATAGAAATATACCAGTGACCAACCTTTGGGGAGCCAATAACTAAAGGAGCTTTATTTAAGTTACCAGAATAATCATGCAGAGATGCTGAAGGCACTGCACCATGGCGTACAAAACACATTAAATCAATTCCACTGAAATTTCCAGTCTTATTAGAGGATGTTACATTTTCTGCCATGATGATTAATTGTTCTGCTATTCCTAACATTTCTAAGGAGTATACTTTCATTTCACCATCTCCAAGACATGGAGTCTCAAAGTTGCTTCTGCAAGAAACCACACTTTGGTTACCAACTGGAAGATTTTCCACATCATTATAGCTGCCAGATTGACCACATGAAAGCAGTTCAAGAATCTGGTTGCAGTACTGACCATACATTGTTAAGGTCACGCATCCTTCCACACTAATATTGGCTGTGAAAGAATAAGCTGGACCTCTAACAATCTGCAATCCAGAAGTACACCATAAAATCAAGCCATATAACATTTGGAACCAGTCTTTTAAAACCCCTTGTTCAAAATGATAAGGTAGTGGGAAAGAACTAATTAAAGGCAAAGAAAGAAAAACAGCAATAATATCACCCTAAGAGTCATCCATGCATGCTATGAATTATAAATGTGTAATATAAAGCGTGACAATGACCTAACTCTTCTTGTTATCAATTTTAAACAAGGGCTCTAGAAATTCCCTAGACTTCTTTTCCAGAATAAATACAAGAGTGGTAGAAGTTTGCTGAAGTTATTCCAGTGATCTCTTGTCACAAAAGCAGTTGACCAATTGAGGAATAAAAAAAAAGAGAGAGAGAGAGAGAGAATCTCATGAAGCAACCAGTGAACAAGATAACTTGGATATGAACTACCATAGCTAGTAGTCTTACCATCTTTGACTGTGTCCTAGTAGCCCCAATGCCATTAAAAAGACCAAAATACCAGACCCCTGAAGATATCTGAACAAAAAGCTTGTGAGTTGAAGAATAAAAAGTTGAGAATCAGGAGCCCATGCAAAACAAGAAAAAAAATACACAGAGTTGTGAAAATAATGCACACAACAAACCAACATCCCACTCCCCACCCATGCCAATCATGGAAACAATGATAATCTACCATGCTTTCCTAAGACTTGTCGTATTATGGTGTATTTTCTGAATGCAAACCTGATCACTTGTCAACATTATACTTATATTTTTGGACATTGGATAGCACTGTTCTGTATTTTGGAGATCTGTTATTCCTTCAAAAGATCCATTTTGAAGTGCATCTAATGCTGCAACAAGAGAAAGTTTCTCAGCAGAGTCAGATTCATTTATGGTTCATGGAATTAGTTATTATAAGAAGAAACTAATGATAAAAGTAAAACATAAGGCTACTGAGCAAATGGAGGATCACAATTACCTAAACCTCTGAAAGAAATGTTTGAGTCATCTGGCAATGGGGGGCTGCCTTCTCTCAAACAAAACATTGGCAAACTGCTTTTTGGAACCTTTTCTACATTTTCAACATCCTGAAAAAAGTTTGAACATAAATGGATAAAATTGGAAAACAGTCATGTTAGTCCTCTCATGCTCACATGCAAAACAGCACAGGATAATATAGTCGAAGTTACTAAAAGAATTGGCAAAAACAGACAATCAACAACAAAAAATTGGCAACCATGCAAGTTCATGAATTTAAACTTACAAGATCAACATCTGACTCCAGTGCTACAGACATTGTAGAAAACCATGGCGGTAAATCAACTGGAACATGGAAAAAACACAAGAACCCGTAATATACAGCATAAGAAAACAACACAAATCTAAGATTTCTGCCCTATTTCAGGCTTCCTAATCAATAACAGACATGACCAAATCCAGCTGAACTACTCAGAATGCCCCTTTTTTTTATTTATTCTAACTCAAGCATTCCTGGAAACTTACCTCCTCCAGGCTAATAGCAGGAAGCAATTGAACAAAAACTGAACCAAAAAAAAAAAAGGAAAAAAGGGGGATAAAGCTTGCTATGGGTAATACTTGAGTTATTTCCTTAGGGGGGAAAATAGAAAGAAAACAGAGCATCATCCCAGCCTTAAAATTAATTGACCATGACGGATTTCGTCATGAAAACCATCTATTATGATTAAAAAAATTATACAACTTCGACATCGAAATTAACAGAATGATATCACCGTCCAATTGCAAAAACAAATTTAAAATCTTGAAAGTACCCAACAATCCAAAATCAATATAAAAGACCAAGAAATAATTAAAGACGTCAAAGAAACGCCAAAATTAAAGCAGCTTACGCACCTCGGATATAACGCAAATCATCAGGCTTAATCTGGGTTTTTGGGTATCTAAAGCTGGATACTGTGGTGGTATCATAAGGACCCAGTTGGTCAAGTGAATGACAGCAACAAAATAAACATGAGAACAGCATGAAAAGACTGAGAATCAATGAAGAAAACGAGCATGGAATCCAATTCTCTCCCATCTTCGATTGATTCTTAGATACAATCCGATCAGCTGCAGATATAAAGGCCAAAACTTTAGTTAGGACTTAATAAGAAACTTTTAATCCAATGGAGAAATTGTTTACTGATTTTCAATTGGTGATGGATGGTTACTGGTGATGATAGTCAATCTATGTGCGTGTGGGGGAAGCAAAAGATGGGTTGGGATTGGAGGAAAGAAGTCGCGCCGCCGAACGCGTCCAAGTCCCAATCCCACAGCCGACAGCCGCCTGAATTTAAACAAACACCGGTCTGATGCTGCCTATGAAGCAAAAAGTACAGCGAGTACTTTATCTTAGTTATTACTCGTACTAAAAACTGATTGAATCAGAAATTCTGTAACATGGTTTTACGGTAGATTCGAAACACTTGAAAACTACCCTGCTGTCTGAGGGAGGGAGAATCCTGTGCATTTGAGCGCAGAGGTACTCTGTCTTGATAACCGTTGGATCAACGTGAAGTGAAGATAATTCAGGGGAAGGAACGTGGAGTTTTCCCGATGTTTTGAGTCTTTTGACTCTCGCTGTCCCCGTCTCCGGGCGGCCAAGACGCCAACATTGCCGGCGATGACGCTTTCGCTCGCCTACATGGCATCACCGAACTCGATGCCGCTCTCCAGGTGTGTGGATTCGTAATTCCTTTGGCGATGGGAGTAAAAAGTAAGCAACTCCTTCTGATTCTAACCGAAACAGTGGGAGAAATCTAATTTTATATAGGGAAATGATTTAAAGATAATGTTTTACATAATCTTATTTATTATTTAAATGATTAATTAATTAATTAATTTATAATTTATAATTTATAATATTAAATATATTTATTTATTTAAAAAATAAAAAATAATAATTAATTTAAAATTAATTTAGAGTAAAAAATAATAATTATTTTAAAATAAAAATACATAAATTTATTTTATAATACAATACAATTTATCATCAAGTATAATTATCAAAACTATAGTATATATTTTGCTAATTATATATTCCCCTCATTGAAATGCTTATACCAATATTTTAATTAACACATCAATAGATAAGCTTTCGCCTAATTACTATAATAAAGTGATGTTTATTTTGTAAATTGAAAGCAAAAAACTCAACTGTTCAACCGTCTGTGGATTTTCAGGCTTCAGCACAAGTACGGCAGGATTCTTGTTGCAGTTGCAGTCTTTTTCACCTTAAAAAAAATATATATATATTTATGGTTGCAAAATTTATTCAAGGAAGAAAAAAACAAAATGTGAAATAAATTATTACAAAACAGTTTTGTCCACCCCACGCGCCCTTTTATTAACGTGAAGAAAGCAACTTTTACACTCTTTTTTCTACTTCTTGTGGAATTTTATAATAAATTCAATTTTTTCATGGTAAATTATATATTTAAAATATAATTTATATTATAAATTTATTTAAATATTTTTAATAAAATAAATTTTTTTGTTAATTAATTTTTTAAATTTATCTAAATATGTATATTTTTAATTTCTTAATTTTAAATTTAAAGATGAAAATTATGTGTATATTAAAAGTTGAAAAAATAAAAATATATAAATTCGAATAGATTTAACAGATTAATTGATGAAAAAAATTAAAAAATATATTTTTTATAATTAAGTTATTAAAATATATATATTAAAAAATAAAAATTATACAAAATTTTAAAATTAAAATTGACATTTAATATAAAATATTAATTATTAAATAAAAATAAAAATTTAATATTGAAAGTATTTTTTATTTTATAATTTAATGTAATAAAACAAATTTCCTTTTACAAAACATGAATCATGAATGAGGCTAAAACCTGCAAGTCAAAGAGTGTTCAGCCACAGAGAGCATTTTGCCGCTCGACATACCACGTGGGAAACGGGGAGAGGGGGGGGACCTTTTACATCTCAAAAAAAATGATTTTTCCAAAACCGGGAATCGCCAAATCGGATAGAGTGAACAGACAAAAGAGAGATCTATTACAGAAGCAGTACTATTATTGTTGGTTAAAAACCAGCTGTCATAAATTATGGGAGTTATGCTTTAATTAACTTGTTCCCCAACGGGGTGGGGGTTGGATGCATTGGGGCAAAGAGGCAAGGCTTGGAAATTGTTGGGGGGGAAGCCCGGATGATAAGACGTACAAGAACAGGGGTACTACGACAGGGTATGATTGGGGGAAGGAGAAAGGGGTGAAAAACATACCAACACCTCAACATTTTGGTTAGGTGTGTCAGTCTTAAATAGGGGATCATTAATGGTTCAGGTCTTTGAATTTTCTTGAACTATATAGTTAGGTATTGTAGACTAATTTTAAATAAAAAATATTATTTGACATCAAATGATTTATTGATCATCTTCATAAAATATTGTGTTTAGATATTTAAGTATTGAGGTATTTTTTGTTGTGATTTATTGGTGATTATTACAGCTCAATAGAGTTGTCGATAGATTGTATCTTTAATAAGTGATCAAACTTTATTAAAAAAAAAGATATTAATTTTTAATTTTTAATTCCTAATTATTATCCCTCTCAAAAAAAAATATATTGAGTTTTAACCCAATTTATTACTTTGTTTCTGAATTTATCAGTGTCAAAAATAAATAAATAATACTAACAATTATTGTGTGGGATTGGTGAAAGTCTTTTCCACTTTGTTTTTTCATATTGTTAGTCTTACGATTTAATGTTAGTCATATTAATAAAATGAAGTTAATAGTAAAAGAATTTTTTATAATTTTTTTTCTTTTGATATAGATGACATTTTTTTCATCATCGGAAAAAGAAAATTATACTATTGCATTATTCAATCTTTAATTACAGAATGATACCATTCAAGTACGACTTATACAAGGCACAGGTCTTTCACCGTAAATAGAAATTTATAAAGAATATAGGATTATTTCAATCTTTAATTGAACTAAAATCTATAAATATGAAGCTAACTAACACTTGTTCGATGGGAATATATAATAAGTATAAACATACTCGTTTAGTCTGAGATGAAGTGAAGTGAGATTATTTTAATTAATTAAAATATTTTGTTAAGCCAACCAATTAATTCCATTGGTTGAAAATTTAAAATAACCTTATGCTCTATTCTCTTAAATTAAACATATCTTATGATAACATAATTTTATAATAATTCAAAATTTAAAGAAAAATATATATAGACTTATACACAAAATGACAAAATTACTTATTTAAATCTGGAGACGAGGGACCTCGGACTCAGATCAGTAACTTATAAAGGTAGTATATGCGGCGTTAACTTATTAGATTTATAGCTGACTGTGAAACGGTGTCGTTTAAAAGAAAACCTCTGAAATCTACTCCTTTGCGCAGAATATATTACTATCATTGATATTTTTTAGCCTTATGAAGCTGTAATATTAGTTGGAAGTTGGAAAGTTGTGGCTTATAAGACACCTTTTCCTTTTCCTTTTAACCTAAATATATTTTTGATACTCCATAAACACCAAAATATTTAATAATTAGAATTTTGATAAATACAACACTTTCATTAATAAGATTTGAAAATTAAAATTCTATTAGCTAAATTTGGCAAAATTTCAAAACCATGAAAATCATAGCCCACATGATGTTCAACCCACGTCATGGGCACCACAAAAAAAATAAAAAAATACAATTTAAATTGTCTTAAATTATATAATATTAATTATTAAATAATAATTAAATCTCCTTGTATTAATAAACTTCGTCTACTCTAAGTGTTTATATTTTACCGTTGATGTAGTTGATGTTATAAAATAAGGTCTTCTACAAAATAATCCCAACAGTAAAAAATAGTTTACAGATAATGGCATGCTAGTTTAAATAAAAAAAATCAATTTTTTAAAATAAAATCTTAATTTCGAATATTACAAATACAGAAACAGATATTGAAAATTTTTTTCATAATCAGATCTGATATATTTTGATTTTAAATTAATTAAATTTAATATAACATTTAAATATTGGAAGTTAATATTAAAAAAATAAAATAATTTACAAAATAAAATATTACTCCCACGCAATCAGAAGAAACAACTGATTGCCACGTAGCACAGCAAAAGAGATCCACGCAACCCGTTAAAGAAAAAAAATCCAACATTTCAAATTTACCAAACTGCCCTTCGTCTTCTATTCAATTGACTCACGCAACCCTCCGGTCCATTACGCCGACTCACTCACTTCACTTCCCCCACGACCTCTCCTGCTGTTTTGTTAGCCAAATTCCACCCTCACCCATCACAATACAACACAAAAAAATATATGGCATTAATAATATTTCAAGAAATACAAATACTAAGATAGTCTTAATTAAACTTGCTTAATTATTAATTCGCCCTGTTGTCTTTGCCCCATTTCCATCGACAAAATCCTTCGATTTTTGTTTTCCCTTTTTATTTCTTTTTTTTCACATTAGGGACTTCAACGATCTCGCTTTCACGGGCTTCCTCATTCGTTTCCTCCCATTAACCTCGTACTCTTCCTCGTCTTCATCGTCTATGAAATCGAATTCTTCATTATCATCATCGATTTGAGAGGAGAAAGACGAGGTACGACTATTCTTTTGAGTAGTGACAATCTCGTTACTATTGTTCTCGGCTTCTTTGGTTCCATTCTTGCTGGCTTCCCCGCCTCCTCTTTCCCCCCTTCGCTTTCCCCATGACGGCCCAAACCCAGAATAATAATAAAATTCGTATGGGTTGGAAGCTGATGTAGACCCTCTTTTTGTCACCCTTGGTCTCCCACGGCGGCCCAAACCCAGTTGCTTCTCGGTCGATGTCTTTCCGTTTGTCGTGTTGCCGTAATGATCTGCGTTTTTTCCCTCCCTCTGGCGCCCAAATTTGACTTCCTCATTATCGTCCAACACTTTATCGGATTTTGGCATGATAACCAAAGCGCCCATATCTGCAGCCGCCCTTTCATCAGAGTCCATCATCGAGGCCGCGCTGCTATAATATGCAACATTTTAACAATCACAAACACAAACTGGGTATCAATCTATGCTCTCAAATTTTGGATAATTTCTAACATATCATTCAATTATTTCACAATGAAACCCAAAAACCCTAATAGCAAACACAACGACCCAAATCGATAAACAGAATCGAATCAATAATATAGCGTGGGTTACCTCTCAATAGCGCCAATAGAATCGCCTAAGCTATCATTTCCAGTGAAGCTATCATCTCCTTCGAACTGGTTTAAAAAACCGAAAGAACAAAAGAATAAAAACTCGAAGCATAACATAATAGGTAAAAATAACAGAAACCCATTAACCTAAACCACTATTGGGACGAAAACACACGAAGACGATGAAGGGATTAGGGTTTTTGGCGAAACCCTAAAATGTGAAAACCCTAGAGATAAAATGGAAGCAAAAACGTAAAAGCTCAACTTAGATCTGCTCGAAAAAACCAAATAACAGAGAAATAGAGAGCACTGACCTGGACAGGAAGCAATGGGTTGGGGCCCTTTGGCTCTGGTGCGCCAAACGACATCACATCCCA